CCAGGCGGGTCTTGAATGTCTCCAGAAAAGGTGACTCTCCAACCTCTCTGGGCAACCTGTTCAGTGCTCTGTCACCCTCACAGTCAAAAAGTTTTTCCTAATGTTCAGGTTGAACCTCCTATGCTCCAGCTTGCTCCCATTGCCCCTTGTATTGTAATTTAACATCAGAGAGAAGAGCCTGGCTCCTTCCTCCTGACACTCGTCCTTTACAAATTTATAAACATGAATGAGGTCACCCCTCAGTCTCCTCTTCTCCAAGCTAAAGAGACTCTGCTCCCTCAGCTGCTGCTCCTAAGGGAGATGCTCCACTCCCTCAATCCTCTCTGTGGCTCTGCACTGGACTCTTTCAAGCAATTCCCTGTCCTTCTTGAACTGAGGGGCCCAGAACTGAACACAATATTCCAAATGTGGTCTCACCAGGGCAGAGTAGAGGGGAAGGAGAACCTCTCTCGACCTACTGACCACAGCCCTTCTGATACACCCCAGGATGCCATTGGCCCTCTTGGCTGCAAGGGCACATTGCTGGCTCATGGTCATCCTGCTGTCCACCAACACCCCCAGGTCCTTTTCTGCCTGGCAGCTTTCCAGCCACTTTTCCGCAGGCCTATAGCACTGCATAAGGTTATTGGTTATGAGCAGCGGGAAGTTAAATGGGAAGTCAAAGCCCAAACCTGGTAGAACAGCACAAGTTTTCTCATTAAGACTCAGGAGTGTTAACTGTAACTCTTAAATATGGGGGATCCAAGGGTATCATTTATCAGTGCCTTATTTTGGAGCACTGACTCAGCTGATAAAAACTGCAATGAGGTAGGTGAGCTCTTCTGAGCTCCAGAAGATGATCTCAGACATTAAGCCCTCACCTTCTTGTGGCTTTACCCACCCTCATGCCTTCTGGTGACGGGCCAGGAAACCAGAGGTTTACCCCATTCCTCAGGCTACAGAATCTGAAAGGAAGAAATAATGTCCTGAAAACATAAGTGCTGTGGCATTTCAATCAAATTGCATTGAAAAAACCTACTCTGACTTACTCCAAGAACTAAAGATGTTATTTCAGAGAACTGATGTAGCACTGCTTAAATAAATTATCCACATCAGCATATGTGGCTTTCCACATATTTCTGAGCCTAGCAGAACAATTTATTGCTTTTCCTCTGTGGACAGCGGCATCCTTGGAGATATCCTCTCTCTCAGGACCTAAGGCCTGCTCCCAGATCAACATTTCGTACTCCTTGAGGTTTTTCTCATCTTCCCGGAGTTCCTTCTCATCTTCCCGGAGAGCTCTCTCCTCTTCCAGAAGAGCTGTTTCATCTGCCCACAGAGCTTCTTCTGCCCACAGGACTCTGTCCTTATCCAGAAAGACCCTTTATTTCTCCAAGGGGAGCTGGTCTTCTTTCCAGAAATCCTTATCCTCCTTCCAGAAAGCGCTATAGTTCTTCCAAAGTCATGATACACCCTCTAGAAGACTTCGTCTTCCTCCTGAATAGCCTGTTCTTCCTCTCAAAAGGCAGTTTTCTCCTCCCAGATGAGCTTTTCCTCTTCCCAGAAGGCTTGGATGGCAATATTGAAAACTCGGATTTTTACCCAAAAGTTCTTCATTGTCTCCTGAAAACTCTGAATCTCTTCCTGAAAGGCTTTCTCAGCCTGCAGCTTATTGATGAGCAGCTAGCAGGAGGTGCAGTAGGGAGGGTAGGACGTCAGCTGGCAACAGCATCTCTGGTTTGGTGCTCATCACTGACAGATTGGGCAGAAACCCAGCCCAGTCCCCAGCCTCTTGCCCTTTGGCGCAATAGAGAAGGTAGTGATGGGAATCATAGAATGGTTTGGGTTGGAAGGGACCTTAAAGATCACCTGGTCCAACCCCCTACCATGGGCAGGGTCCCCTCCCACCAGACCAGGTTGCCCAAAGCCCTGTCCAGCCTGGCCTTGAACACTTCCAGGGAGGGGGCATCCACAACTTCCCTGGGCAACCTGTGCCAGTGTCTCACCACCCTCACAGTAAAGAATTTCTTCCTATTGCTTAATCTAACTCTGCTCTCTTCCAGTTTAAAGCCATTACACCTTGTTCTGTCTCTACCTGCTCTTGTAAAAAGTCCCTCTCCACCTTTCCTGTAGGACTCCTTCAGGACCTGGAAGGCTGCAATAAGGCAGGCATAAACCTCGGCCACAATCAGTAGGTCCCAATCTGAAGGACAGACCCCTCTGCCCTTTTCCCTCTGGTGCTCTAGGCACTCCCATCTCTCTGAGCCTTAGCTATGCCTCCTGACCCTTAGCTATGTTTCCTGACCCTTCACAGACTCCCCCCAAAAACTTACAGCTACCAGAATCACATAAAACTTGAACAATAAAGAGAAAACAAAGATCTAATTTTCCATTCACTAATCTACCTAATAATTCTACAGCTAGAATTAAAGCTGGTTACTTATTTATACTGTTTTGTTAGATTTATTATGACTTATTGCACAGTGCCTCCAGCTTCATAGCAGGGTGCAGATTGCCTTATAAATAAAAACCTCTTGATTATTAATATATTATGAGCCTGTCTATCCTTCACTGTAGACAGGCAAGGCCCCAGGGGCCTTTGCAGATGTGGTGCAGCTAACGGCAATATGCATCTGCTCTGTGTGAGGAACAAGAAGGCAGGGAGCACCCCATGCCTGCATGATGGCTCCAGGACACAGTGTCAGGATGGACAGACAGCCCAAGCTGCAGGACTTCCCATGCACCTTGGCAAAGCCCAGTAGTGTGTGACACCACTATCACACCTTTGCTGTGCTGGAGGCATATACCCTCCTTGTCTTGGGCTTCCTTCCTCCTCCAAAAGCTGAGTCAGGTGCTGGCATAGCCCTGTCCTCTTTCCCAGTATTTTGGGTATAGCCAAGGAGCCTTCTAGTAACATTTGACCAGCTTCTGCCTCTCCTCTCCTCTGCAATCACTGAACATCCGAGAGGGTGGACGGCTCCTTCATGGCAACTGGGATGAGCTCTCATGAATGGCAAGCTGGTGGGGGGACCTGCTGGGAGACTTTGGGGTGAATACAGGAGCATTTCGGTTCTGCTGTTTCCTCCTTATGCTGCTTCCTGACTCCTGAACCTTCCTTCCACAGCTGAGGCTTCCCTGGGAGGTTGGAGAGGGGAAAGAAGGAAGGCAGACATCTGCAGCTTCACTCTCATGGAGCTTCTTGCCCATTGGTTTGTCCCTGCTCAGTGTGAGAAGGACCCCAACAACAAGTGATGTGCACTCCCAGCTGGGCTGTCTCATCTGGGGTGGGGGGGGTTGTGGTACCACACCATGTGCGTAGAAGGCCAGAAAAATTAGATGAGTTAATGTGCCAAAAGCTAATTGCCAGAAGCCTGTTATTACTTGAGCTCCAGAGCAGCCGCTGAAGCAGCAGCCATTTCTCCTCCACTAAAGGGGTTCCTGAGATGGGCTCTGCTCTCACTGAGCTTTCTGTGGAGCTCCTGGGCTCCTAACTACTGTCAGCAACCTGAGGATGAGACAGCTTTCAGATTATACACCAGGATACATATGAGACCTTTGTCCTTTGGGAGCTGCAGGTGGAAGCTGGGGGAGATATCCCAACACATACCACACCACAGGGCACCCATGTGTACGCGTGAGTCCCACCTGAAAGTCTGTCTCTGATTTATGTGGCTAAAGCGTCCTTTGGATCCTGCCCCAAGAGGTTACCGGGCCAAATCAGATAATAATTTTGCTTTTATGAGGCTTTTGTCTCCTCAGCATGCATCAAGTGATACAAATAAAACTTTGAGAACCTTTTCTCACATGGTATAGTAAAAATATTCCCATTAGTTCTTTTACTGCGCTCCTGAGGCAGGCTTATGAGATGTTGGATAATTATACCAGAGTACATTTTTCAATTAGGACATCATTATTTTCTCACAGAAAATTACTAAGTCATATGATTTTGTTCCACAAGTCTGCAAACACTCTTTCAATCGTCATTAAAATAATAGTCACTGAGTATCTGCAGACATCTCTAAGAGTGCAGAACTAATGGCTAACGAGTCTAATGCTAGTTTAGATCTGTTCTCTTACTGGAGTGAGGTCTTATGGATAGATGTGAAATGAAATTGAAAAAAATGAAATTGAAAAATTATGTCTTTAATTAGTATGACTCTTGTTATTCTTCTCATTCTTACAATCAAAAAAGTAAAGCCTCAAAGACATCTAATAACAGTGGTCATGCTACTGGAAAACTTAGCATTTGTAAAACTTCAAAACAAAAGACATGCAATGCCTACAGAGGTCCAGTCCTTATGGTAGCTGGGTCTCTGACACCCACTGGTGACTGTGATCCATTGGTCCCCTGCAGTGGGGGACAAAATGTGAAGCTATTGATTGAAAGTCAAGTGATGCTGGTGGAGGTGGACGGCATCGCTGTGAAATTGTGCAATGATTTAATTATATTTATTGTATTTAATTATAAATACCCTAAATGTAGTGCAACCTAACACCTATACTGCAGGACGTGAAAGAGGCGCTTTACTGACAAAAGAATTTGTCTCTATTTTTCTGTTGAAATCGTATTAAAATTTGGAGAAGGCTGTTTTGGTTTTGTTTGGTTGTAGAGTGCTTCACTGAGTCACAGTGACCTCTCTGTTTGTGAGACCCTGACCCACATTTATCTCAGTAATCCAGCTTGTTTGATGATAAAAACATCGATCCCGCTGGCAACTGAGAATAGGCAGAAAGAATGAGATGCTTTGAGAGGATTGTAGGAGAAACCAAGATTAAAAAACATCACGCTTGCTGGGAGATAACCCTTTGAAATCTGCTCCAGCTTTTTCTGTTTCAAGACTTTTTCAGACCTTCGAAGGTCACAGTACTTCAGCTAGAAGCAGCTTCTACCAAAATACCTTTTCCTTATGGGATGGCTCTGATGTTCCTTGTTTGAAGTTCAGAAAATATTTTTTTTATATGGGAACAGTTTGGATAGATAGAATCCTCTTCATTAAGAAAACCTTCTTGTCTGGGCAAGTCTCTTGTTATTCTTCATCCCTGATGACAGATTTCCCTCTTTGCAAATGGGTTGCCTTGGGTTGTGGAAAGGTTTCTCCTTCTTTCCTTAGTTTGCTTCATCCCTTCCTCCAGGGGTTGTTTCTTTCCAGAATATTTTTCATGTGCTGTATGTTCCCGCTATAGCTCCCCATTTGACACTATAGCTGGAAAACACTGATGATGGAAAGGATACCATTTAGTCAAATACTTTCTAAACTTTAAAGAAAACATTGTTTTTCTAGATAAGAGGTTTTGGTGATGCAAGTGCAGCAAACAGCACAATAAACTGTGTGCATTCGTGATGTGGTGAAGCCTTTGGGTATAAATTTTTGACATTCCAGTGACTGCCATTAATCCATGGAATTGTAGAAGCAGGATATATTATTTATTTCTCTTCTGATTGTCTTCAATAGCCTCTTTCCTCCTCACAAGGTAAATTCTGCTGCCAAAGAGGACAAAGTGGGTCTTTCAGCTTTCAGCTTTGCCATTTCAATGCAAAATTTCCTGGTAAAATGCAGAGGTGGATTTCACTCAGAAGCGCTTTCGACATCACTGCTACCAGTATCAATCTTCCTGGGGAGAACTAGATGGATAAAACTTGGCTCTCTGGCACACCAGTAAAAAAATCTCATGCTTTTCTTTTCAAGGAGGAGGAGTGGGAGGCTCTCAGTGCCCTTTCTTGAGAGGAAAGCCTGAGTCATCCTTGGGACTTGGACATTTGGATGGATTCTGTGTATGGATGAGGATTTCCAGGACCATTTTCTCCTCTGAATTGCCTTGTGTAGGGCTGACAGCCAGGCACTGCCACAGCAGCAACACCTGGAAAACAAAGAAGCTCTGGGAGGCAGAAGAGCCAAAATGTGCCAGTGGTATCCAGAGGACAACTCAGCTGGCCAAAGGCACGTCCTGCCTCGTGGTCACTTGAGTCCCACCACAGACCCCCCCTGGCTGTACTGAGCAGCTCTCCACTGGCCTTAATGGGGGCTGGAACATCTTGACAGCAACATTTTGGTATCTGCAATTTGGACCTAATTCCCAGCTGAGGGAAGGTAGAGGCAGGACCTGTGTCCATGCCCTTCCTGGGTCATTAGATGCCACCCATTAGGTGGCAACAGATAAATTTATGTGTGTGCACGTATGTGTGTGTGTGTGTGTGTGTGTGTGCGCGCGTGCGCGCGCATGTGATCAATCATTTGCCGCTGTCCCAGCAAGGGCTCTATGTAGTGAGGACAGTCTCTGCTCTTTTGGTGACATTGCCATTTCCACCACTTACCAATGGGCAGGGTCTTCAAAGTGGGTAGGTGACTGCTCTGCCTCAGTGGTCCTTCATCCATCACTAAAACCGCAGCAATCATTTTCTGACCAGTGTTTGTAGCTGTCTGGTCAGATTTCCTCACCTGTCCAGAGGCTTTAATTTCTGCCCATGTGGAGCTAAACCATTCAAAGGAGCATCTGTGTTCCCAGAAATGTTACCATGCACAGTAGGGACCATCTGTTGTTGCTGCAAGTGCTCAGGTATCTAGGGACTTGGGAAGTAGGTATTTTTAGAGAGGAGAAGAGATGGCAGGAGTTACAGAATTATGAAATATCTTAATCGACTTAAAGCAAAGCGCTGTATATGCTATGTATGCCATATGTTTTGTGGAAGGAACTTTGGGCACCTTCCAGTGGTGAATCAAAGCCAAGTTTTGGTTTCAACCCCATTTTGTAAGACTCATCCTTAGGAAAAAAAAACCAAACCTCTGAAGTTCTCAGGTTCAGTGTCTCCACCACATCATCATCTTAGGTATATGACACTGATAGACCTTTCCTTGGCAGCCTTCTGACCACTGCACACAACCCTGTACAGCCATGCATCTTCAGAAACACTGAGGAATCATCTTAACAAATCTATCCCAAACACATCAATGTCAGCAAACCAAACAAACGAAAAAACCCTCTCAACAATCTAAGGCTTTCAGTTAGTTTAATTTATTGAATTTAAACCCAGAGTAACTGAGCTCTGAAGTTTCAGACCAGTTTGTTTCAGAGAAGAGGAAGAGCTTGTGCGCCTGACAGCCCTCTCACCCTAATAAAAGCTATTTCCTGTAGGCAGTGAGAAGCTGTTTCTGACTCTTGCTGCCCTGATGGTTGGAAATCAGTTCCTATTTCATGGCCCATTTATAATCATTTCCTCAAAATCTATTTTCTTTTAATTTTATTTTGTATAAGCAATTCTTTATCCCTGGTATATTTACAGAGATTAGGTATAAGTCCTTAGCCTTTGTCTTAGTAGGCTAAGCCAGCTGAACCCTGTAGATTAATCTTAAAAAAAACCTCAACAGATTGCCCATATCTCTGTCTTTCCTCACAGTTTCCCCTCCCCGTTTTTTTTATTTCTTCTTCTTTACTGTTGCTATAATTTTCAGCAAAATCTGTTACAATTTTTAGCAAATATCAACATTCCTATTTTCTTACTGCTGAATAAAGTCAAGTCAGCAGTGTTTATCAAGAAGACTCACCATGTGTTTTTATTGTTATTATTCACGACAGTAACACACAGGGGTCTCACCAGTCTTGGTGCTCAGACTGGATGCTGCTTGTACAGAACAGAACAGTGACCGCCAAAACAGGCTAAACAGACATTCAATGGAGGGAAGAAGGTGCATCTTCACCTCTATTTCACAGCTCAGAGACAAAGGTTAGGCAAGAAGTGCCTTTGCTGCTAGTAAATGACCAATATGCCACTATGCAAGACTGACCAGTAGAACTTTACCTGCATTAAGGAAATAAAGTATTACATATTAGGCTGTAAGTAACATGAGGTGATAAGTGAACTGAGAGAAGAGATCACTAAAATGACCTCAGGCTGCAGACAGTGACCCACCAGAAGAGCCCGTCCTTGTGAATGTCTTCCAAAGCAGTTGCTCCACTGTAACACCTCAAAGGTGTTACACAGAGTGGTAAGATTTAAAACAACCAACCAAACATCATTTTCCTATGTTTACAGGAGGTCAGGCAGGTACCTGTAACAGACAAGGCAGGGTTTGAGCCAAGCAGACATCAAAAAGGACAGACCTTTTCTTTCAATTGCTGCTCACATCTCCCTAATACACAGAGGGAGTTGTACAGCCAATGAAAGTGTCATGCTTTGTCTTCAGTGCACCTTTCTTACCCCCCCTAGAGACAAGTCCACCTTGTGACATGCTTTCTTAGCTATTTTGGATACAGGTGATGGAAACTCGACTCCTAAATTATTCTCAGGTAGTTCTCACTGTGCACTAAGTTTTGGTCTTATAGATCTGAGGATTCTGTGACCTCAACTGTAATTCAAAGAAATTGCATGGAGCATACAGTTTACTGCAAAACAGCACTTCAGACCTCATATGCATATCCTTTTTCCAGGCTAGTGGAAAATATTGAATAACCTGGTTCTGTTCTGCCTCAGAGCAAAAGCACACTGAAATAATCTTTCTGTGTTGCATTCCTGTTGGGGACCTTACTCAAAGCCTATATCAAATCTGGTATCCTTTAAAAGTAGCCTTGACTGTGCTTCTTGCAGTCACTAGCATGAATGTCAAATATCTTCTTCTTCACTGTTATTCTCTTTTCTACCTGACATCAGACAAGCGCTGCTGTTTCAGCATCACTGTGACTCCTCAGCATGGTATTTGCCTAGTCTTATCCCAACCTGCTCAGCCTTCTTCTAACTTCCTAATTATCTGCTGGATGTGGCAGGTTGCAACCATGGCCCCACTGGATGCAGCTTTGTGGCCAGGCATCAACAGCACAGTTGTAGCCACCTTGTCCTGTGCTGGAGAGCTGGTCGCTGTGTTGCAGGACTGGTGATGTCCTGATGGTGCCTACAACAGAGGGGCAAGAACTGTCCCCAATGCAGAGATGTCTGTCCAGGCCTTGGAATACCTGCTAGCCCCATGGGGCATGGCCGTGAGCACAGCACTAAGCCACAGCTTCTCACATGCCAACCTGCAGCAGTCTTACTGCTCATTTCAGCTGAGGAGGACTTCTGGAACTGCTGCCCCAATGAGATACTATGAAAAACACAAAACATCTTATGAATGGGGTTGCCATCTGGCGTGCTCAATGCACAGGACTTGGTGTTTCTCCATGACTTAGTTTCAACATCTTCCCCCACTTTTGAGTGGAGTCTCATCTGGGGGACCAGGAGCACCAGGAGCTGCAGCTTGCCAGCCAGGTACTGGGAATTTGCTTGTGTATCTACACTCCATATGAGCACTTCCATACCCCTTGCTTGGACACGTTGTCCTCCCTTGTGCCATCCAGAGTCAATCTTTGAGCATAGTGCCATCTGCTGAGACTTGAGATACTCCTACAGCCCAAACAAATAACATCACATCTCACTCACAAATACCTTGGGATAGTAACACACAAAACTGGGCCTAAATGCCAGCACACCGCTGAAACAGATTCTCAGCAGGAGAAGCAACAGCAGACCTAGCATTTCACCAAAAATGGATAATTTGCACGAGTGAGTCTGCTTGCTCAGGTATCAGAGAGGCCAAATTTACTACAGCTCCAAGCTGAGTTGGCTTCTAACACAGCTTTCACCCACTGCAACTAGGTCTAAAATTGTATCTTTTTGGCACCTGAAGTGCAGGACCTCTTGAAAGGACCCAAAGGGAGCCCAAAATATTTGGTTTATTATGCCATGCCAATACAGCACCAGCTGACTAGAGAGGTGCTATCACCTCCTCTTTGTGGAGGAAGATCTCAGGGTCCCCAGAGAATCCCCTTGGGCTCTTGCTCAGATAGAAACTGGCCTGGAAGGAAATACTGCTGTTGAAGAAGGCGTTTTCTTTATGAAGGTCTTACATCCTGCTCTAGATGGCTTCTTCTCCAGCCATGAGATGATGCTCTGTGCATGAAAACACATGGCTATGACAGGCCACAGAGCTGGCTGCCACCAAAGCACCTTTCTCACAAGCATCTCATGAGCCCAGGTTCCCACCTCTAACCTCTCAGCAGCTTGGGGCCAAGCCTTGTGGGCAGGTGATAGAGACTGGGAGCCAGTGGGGTGAGTCCTAGTTTACAGAACTCAGAGGGGCTGATTTAATCTCCCAAAGCAGAGATTTGAATGCATCACCTAAATGCACATATATACAGATATATAAAAGAGAGAGTTATTTCTCATTGCATGGGGGGCTCCAGCACACCCTTGCCAATATGGTCCTACAGAAAAAAGAAACACAAACTTACTCAGTAACTCCTTCATTTCCTGCCTGGGCAGACTAAAGGAGTGGCACTGGAATCCAGGCTACTGATACCTAAATGAGACTGTCAGCAATATGGGCATCTACAGACAATGTAGGTACCCACATCACAGTCAGAACTAGCCAATGCAAGAGCTGTTCAGATCAATATTGGCTTTTAGAGCTGTTTGAGGTGCCCTCGATTACCCAGAACATCTATGCAGGGCTGGTAGATATGAGACAGGACCTACAGGAGACCCACACTCTTCTGGCTAAGCAGAATACCTAGAGCAGCCCAGGTGGGACTAAATGCCTGCATTTCTGGAACTAAATCAAGCCATCACTCTCCCCAGACCCTAGTCGAAGTTCATAGGCAGACTGGAGACTCCTAACTCCACACATCTCAATACTGCACTGAACTCAATCCTAACTCGTTTGCAGTCACTTCACTGTTCTGCGTTATTCCTGCTTTGAAATCTCCTCAGCAATTTTTCTCATTATCGTTCACCATAATTACTCTACACTAAATGTATGGTTCTGTTTCTCATGAGTTAAGGTTACAAATAGTGATATTGCTCCTCGCTTTCAGAGGGTTAGTATTTTCAGTTCTGTTGAACAGATACCATGTGAAGTATGGTTTGCTGTCCTCTAACTGAGGAGGATAAATGCACTGACAGGTGGCAAAAGGCACATTTTATGAGTGAGAAAATGAAATAAAATAATTGAAAAAGCACAGTGTTCTTTTCCGTTGTCAGTGGAACAGTACATTTTATTACGGCTGCATGCAATGGGAATATTAGCTCTGATCTGCAGAAGTGCAAATTAAACTGCTGATTTAGATTATCATATTTTATACATAGTAACTTTACAGGCTTTGATTTTTTTATTGCATGTAAAACCTTTATGAGTTATTAGCTCTTTTTTTTTGTCAACTGTATTTTAGAAGTGAGAGGTTTATTCCTGCTATTACATTAAAGGAGGCATTTTGCTGCTAGGAGAGTTTAGCATTTTATTCAGCTGTGATAACTCTCCCTTATACTCTAGCACAAAGCACAATTAAGACAGAATTGTTCAGTAGTTTTATTATGCCTTTGTGTAAGAAGCTAATCTTTTTTTCTCCACTT